GTGTACGTGTCGGGCATGTGCTGTTTTCTCAGCGCGGAAAATAAAATTCATCCTTTCTCTTTTGTCTTTGTGGATTCTTCCTTAATGATTTTCTTTTCTCTCAGAGTGTCAATGGCCGGTTTGTGCCCCAATGAGATAATCCATTGTTTCCAAAATTTTGTCAATGCGATGGGGTGAGGGGATGCTTTTTTATGACTGTGATGTTTTCATCGCTATTTTTAACAAGATGTAAGGATATCAAATGCTATAGGGGAATTAAAAATAACCCGTAGCGATTGTTAGCCCCGTATAGGTAGTAAATTGGGGCACAATGGACAATAAGAGAAAATAACAGATTTCTCCATGAAGGATCACTTTTAAATGAAAAAGAAAAAAAAAAAAAAAAAAAAAACATAATCCCCATGCTCCATGGAAGCAAAATGACCCAAAAATAACCCAAAAGCGTTAAAAAATTCATAGAAAATTGATAATTTTTGCCTGAGAGCACTTTAACATCCCTTATAACAATGTAGCTTACTCACTTCTAACTAGAAATAATCGCCTACCAAATTTCAAAGCCCGAAAATATATTATAAATTACTTTGATTCGGAAAAAAGGAGTTGTGCCAGGATCTGTACTATTTTGTTGATATTACCAGCTTCACACCACCGTAATATTCCATACAAATGACCTTTTTACTTTTTCTCTTCATCATCATTACCTGTCCTGACAATCAGTCATGGGTGAATCAGCTTTGAACAGAAAATTTTGGGATTTTTGACTCGGTGAAACATTCCAATAAGAGCCAAGATCCTACGATGTAAAAAAAAAACTACCCAGGCATAATCTCATTCCTTCCTTTGCTCTCATTTTTGCTCAGTTTTCCTTAAAATCAAATCGTAAAACGCGAAACCTCGAATACGAGGAAGAAAGCGCTGAAATCTGACTTACAACAACCAAAATCTGAAACTTGGTTGTCTCTCTTTCCTACTTTGACTACCAGAGTTGTTTTGTCTCGACTTGAAACGATTGGAAATTCAGATACTCCTTGTAGCGGCATGAAAAATTCAAACACCTCATGGAGAAGATTTGAGATTCATAGTATTACGTATAGCATTTACGATGTCTATGGTCTTGACGGATGGGCTGTACATTTTTGGAAATTACACGATGCTTTTTATTCTGTTATTAGTACTTTTAGTAGTGCTATCATTTTTATAAATATCAATACAGTTATTATTCAACTTATTAAATTGACCATATGCATGTAATGGTGAATGAAAACACATTACACATTCGTACATGCACGTATACACACTGACATTCATGCGTATCTACGCAGATAGAAATACATACAAAACATGTGCAGAAATGCTTGTGTCATTTATTATTTTATTATATTTTGTACTTTTTGCTAACAAGATTTTGATTTCAAGCACGTCGGAAAAGGTAAAAAAATAATCTCTGTAAAGTTTTTGCGCAAATAACGTGTTTGCGAAAAACCTGTGCTAATTACGGGACAAATTTGATGTACTATCATTTAAGGACAAAATATAGCCTTACTTTTCAAGACAATTAACTTGAAGAAGGTAAATCGTAAACAGTAAAAAAACGGCACATTGCCTTTAGAAATGTTGAAACATAGAAATTCTCAAGAAAAGATACAAAGAGAGCAAACAACAAAAGGAATGACAAAATGCGTCATCTTGAACATAAAACGCGAACGACGGCACCGAAACCGAAGGAGAACAAGAGCGGGGTACAAAAGTGTAGCTCGACGTAAGCCGCTGGCGTTTTATGCCCCCCGGCTGTGCCCTTTCGCGTTATATTTCCTCCCTCTTGTTCTTTGCATACGTATATACGTATCTCGAATCTCGGAGCCACCACCACAACTGCCTGGACGTCCGAGGTGCATGAGCTGTAGCTGTTTCGACTACACGCCTAAATGCACTTTGGGTTTACAGCTCTCTGTAACTGCTTGCCTGTGTGCAGTGAAATTCCCTTTGCCGAATGAATCGAGGAATTTTTTTTCGCGGTCCCTTTGCTTTTGAGCAGGAAAATTGTTTGAATTTTTGGAGGGAATGCATTAAAAAGTACTTATTGCTGCGGGAACCAAACAGCATTTATTCGATGGTTGAAAAAAGAAAAAAAAAATTAATTGGTAAAAGTGACCGAAAAACCTCGTGTTTCGACGAGGCCTCGAGTACATTCGCTTGTGTTCCAAAAAAGGGGTGGGGGCTCTCCAGTACTCAACATTTTCACAAGCTTGACCCACTAACGGAAAAAGTCCAAAGCAAAGACCACACTGCAAACCATAAATATTCCAGCGATACACCCATCCCCCTGCTCCAACTTTTGTTTTCATTATTCTCCGCTAAGCGCTCTCATCCCTGGCACGCAAGCGATGTGCTCGCACGTTGTTGTGGGCGTTTCGTAGCTGAAACAAGCGGTGAAAAATGCTTACGTCCGCGTTTTCGACTTTTTTCCCCTGCAGCGTGTCCCCGAGCCACATGGAGATCCACGTGCAGCATTTTTTCCCACCCCCTCTCTTTTTCCTAACTCTCTCTGTAGAGGACAACATCTGTGACTTGGCCATTTACTACTATGGAGAGCAAAAGGAGGATGTACAATCTCATTGTGCTCAAACAACGGAGGAGCTGCGGAAAAATAACGTAAAATATATGAAAGCGGGTGATGTTGTTATCGATAAGACACAAGAAAGTCGGAAAAATCAATTCCTCTCAGCATTTCGACTGAATGAATCGAGTGTCGACGTGATTCCAGTCTTCGGTTACGTTCGCGTTGAAAGACAAAAATAAAAAATACCATCCTGTCGTTGAACTAACGAGAATCTCATCCCCATCGGTTCGAGAAAAGCGTTGTAGCCCTCGGGCCTATAGTACAAGCCAAATGGGACTTTTCACAGATCGTCCTTCATTTTATCCGTGGATTAATGGACTCTCCCGTGATGATCGCGAGGGCCTTGGATTTGATTCCGGCAGGATCTGAATATCCGACGAAACACGAAAGTTCTCGTGCTCCCTTGCTTCAGCATCCACTTGTTTTTTTTTTTTTTTTTTTTTTTTTTTTTTTTTTTTTTTGATCGCCGCTCGATATGTTGGTTTAATGATAATCGATTTCATTTTACTTTATAATCCGCGCTCGCGAGCCCGAACCCATTATTTTTCCCGAAGACAGGCCGCATAAATTCCGAGCATCCGCTATCTATGCACGAACGGCGGAGGGTCCGGAGAATTGAATTGCAAAAAATCGATCCTTTGAATTTAATTTAAACATGTTGTACCCAAACAAGCGCTAGTAAATATCTTTAGAAAAAAAAAAATGAACAAACTAAACGTTGTGCCAGTGTGTTTCGTAGCTCGATCGTACAATTGGCACGAGACTCGACACAAACGAGCCTTATGAACCATGCAAAAACCATGATGCATTCGGACTCCGGAGCCCTCATAACTCTTGATCGGGATGAGGGTAGCTCGCAGTGTACACGTACTGAGCCACCGTTCACTATCTCCTTTATTTATCTCTTATCTGTGAACAACACAAAATGTCATTTATGTAATACCGAGCGAACAAAATATGAAAAAGGACAAGCTTTTATAGTAAACGCTGTCCGTTCGTGGGTATATTATGAGGTTACCGTGAAATATTCATTGCTGCGAGTTCATAATATCAATTTTTACAGACAGGGATTTATTTCGAACGAAATTTTGCACCAATACGGGTCACGTCACTTTTCCGCTGCTTTCAACGCACCGTACATAAATGTACCTTAACGTGGTCTTAAAGGAGAAAGTACCTGTCCTCTCCACGTGTCATTGAAAATATGTATCTCTCAGTGTTCAATTTAGCGGCTCTTATTGCATGTATAAGTAAGCACCTTAAAGTTTTGACCCGCCACGATCTTCTACTCCAGTTCAATACTCTCAGGCAATAACTGTGTAGACAACCCCATATGTGCATGAGCCACCTCATGTATTATCACCCTCTTTTTTTTATATGCTCTAATTTATTACTTTCAAACTAAAATTGTTTCTATCTCATCGGCTATCTTCTCGGGCTCACTCAACACCACAGAACAATCCATATATGACCCTCTATGAAGTGTAACTCTGATTGCAGAAGACCAATCTTTATACTAAAGCGTTGATTTAGAGTTTTTCTGATAATCGTTGCAAAGGAGAATCCTTAGAGTATTGTATACCTAGTGATGATCAGTGGTCTAGAATAACAAAAGTAATTAATGTACATGAAGAATTTTTTATGGAGGCTGGATATTTTTTTCTCTATTTTTAAATAGATTCTGGTTTTTCGAAAAAACACCATTACGTATGGTGTAGAATAAAATATACCTGCATGAGGATAAGCTGCCTTTGCAAGTTGTTAGCTCTCTCAGCAGACACAGGTGATACGGTAAACTTAAACTGTATACGTCGAGAAAAATATTCCTGTCAAGGCTCCAACGAATTTCCCTCCCTCCAGCTCCTATGGCTTGTCATCGAGTTTTTCTCCCTTTTTCGAGCCAACGTTGCAGCGCACACAACTCGCATACCTGCATTCCTTCCCCGAGTCGCAATTGTCATCGATTTTCAATTTAATTTTTATTTCCTCGTCTCCCATTCTTGCTCGTTTCTAACCTGCGACGTGTAAGAGTTTCGTGCGTATTCGCAGGCAAGCTTGATAAATTTCCTTGATAAATAGTATTTTTACCGCTTCGACTAGCAGTACGTACAATTTTTCTCTGTAACGGGGAGAAATTGTCGCGCGATGTACATTAGGAGAGGTGGAAAATTACGCTCAGGATATAAACGCTCTAAATCACGAGACACGCGTACTGTGCGAAATATTCGGATATTATTGCTTTCTTATTCATTTTTTTACACAAGTATCTAAAGTGATTGAAACTATTATTGAAATGAATAATGAACATTTGATTTCACTGAGTTAAAATCATACTTTACTCTACTGAACACATACATTTTTTTTTTTTTTTTTTTTGCAGATTGTCAACTCGAACCGCCCCACACCTGTTATGGTCGAAGGAAGTTTCATAAGGTGAGTTGGTTTTGAATTCATTTTTTTTTTAAATCGATAAGATATTATTGTGAATAATTTTTCACTCTTACTCGTGTTCATTGTTCTGTACACCAGTGCTGACGACATTATCAACTTTGAACGTATTTCGTATAATCGTTGCGTCGTCATGTTGTGGCAACGATCAATGACGCGAGAAACAGATAAAGAATATCCCTTTTTTTGCATTTCAACAAACCGTGGGTGACAACTCGGTTATTGATTTCTCTGATTATTATCAATGCAATGGCTGTATTGGAAAACGTTCTTATTCACGCACTTGTTGTCAGTAGGATTCAATTTATTTCCCCTAAAAGTGATGTGCCGTATACATTCCAACATTGATGGCAGAGCCTCAATTTCCTCGTACGTATTTTAACTTTTCAAAATAAAAAGACACCCAACGTGTAACAATAAAATAAACTTAAATTAAAGAAGTTAAATAACAGTAGAACAAAAAAAAGCTGGAGTAATAATAAAAGTCACGCAGACGAGGTTACAAATACTCGGCCGCTCGAGTTAAATTCATAAGCTCGAGTCGTAAGAAGTAACTTCCCTAATTGCTCGGGAATCAGTTCGCTCGAGGGTCTCCGAGTGTCACCCCTCCCCCGCAGTTTCCACTTTTCCCCGGGAACGCCTCCAACTGGAACAACTCCGGGAGAGTCGGACTTTGCTCTCGAGGGACAAAGTTTGCCACCGATCGCGCGTTCCAAGGGTATAGGCAAACGCCCTCCTCCAATTAGGCTCTGCTGACTGTACGGGGAGAGAATGAATTGTTCCTCGCGGTTTTGTCTCCAGATAGATAGATTCCACTGTTGAACGAATTTTAAGTTATTCGGCATGCAGTTGCGCTGCTAATGGGAAACAAAACAAAAATAGAAAAAAAACTCCAAGGCTACGAATAAAAATAAAAACAAAACAAACTATAGACTCGGCGTGACTAGCATCGTTATGACGATGTCGACTAAATTCGCTGAAAAGATCTCATCACGGTCCAGATATCTTTTTTTCGTGCAAAAAGAAGGAGGTGGAGGATCGTAATTTGCAGAAGAAACGGGTGAAAAGAGGCATCGTTCCGCGAATGCACAACGCGCTAGCAAGACTAGCGTATATAGTACATGGTGTACCACTCCACGTTTCACCTGCTCAAAGCTCAGTCTTCGCGTGGCAAGCTCTCCCGCTTCTATATAGATACGTACGCGCGTAGTGGATCACTTTGAGTACAAACATCGCAAATTGGCGGCCTTAGACTTACCACCGGTGCTCTGTTCCTGCCGAACAAACAGGGAGGAAAAAATCCTGCGTTTTGGAGAGAAAATCCCGGTGGTTATTTTTTCTCCTCTATCGTTAGAATCTGCTTGCCGAGCGAGCGGCAAAGTGTTCGGAGATAAATTAATCGCGTGCTCCGAAAATGGCACTTACCTCCTCGGAGCGGGGCTGTACGCCGTGGCTCTCTTAATTAACGAGAAACGCAGAAGTCGAGCACGCGGTGCACATCGCTCGCACGCGCTAATTACGAGATCGAGGAGTTGTCGGCTGCGAGGAAGTGCACTCGGTGATGGAAATCTAGGGGAAAGAGGGATCGCGAACGCCTTTCTTTTGCTCTTGACACAGATGATGGCGTGCGTGTTGAGACTGGCTCGAATAATAGTACCTACGTCGCTCGTCGTTTGCGCGAAAGTCGAATTAGCGAGACTAGGGTCAAATTGAAACCTGATTGCGTTTTCGCGCCGATCGAGCGGTGAATCTTCAATGGGTGACAAACGCCTCGAGAAAAAAGTGTATTTACGGGATGTTGAAAGTCTGTGCAGTTAACAGGACGGGGGAGCTCGAAGTTTCCGGGGAAGGGAAAAGAAAGTGGAAGCAAAAGTTGGCCTCAGTGTTTAACGTCGCGTTTGAACTAGTGATTCAAGTCAGGAAAAAAGTTTGTGGAATAAAATGGGCGGGTTGTGTCTTTTTTTTCATTTGTTTTTTTTTTCCCCCCTTATCATCAGGACAATTTCTAAGAAGTATCTAAATATATTTTCTAGTGATGGATGATAAATTTCTTTTACCATTTTTAATGCATACGTGAAGCGCATTACTATATAAGGCGTAGATTATCGTGTTTTGCACGTTTTAAGTAGTAGAGCTCAAGTTTTAGTCAGACCTCAAGCAAAATTCAAATAGATTTGCTCATTTGTCACTTTTAGCCATAGAAAACAAAGTAATTGGATTCATATCGTTAATTATCTTATGAGACTTTATTCTGTCAAGAAAACTTCTCAATGAATAAAACTTTTGCAGTGATAAATTCTTTCACAATTGTTTACATCGCCGTAATGACACATATAAGTAATTATTTTTCCTTTCCATGCGCATTATTAAAACTAAATAGGCATTCACGAGAAAAACGCCCTCAAAGACCAGAATATACACATTTTACCTCCTTTTTGCATTTTTGTAAAACTCTGTCTATGTGAGTGTAGGGAGCAATTTGGTAGTCGTAGTTCTACTTACCGGCGCCCTTTGTTCCCATGGATGCCCGAAGACTTGAAAGTCTTGCTTGCGACTTTACCTAGTTGAAATCCACTTAAGCAATTTCGCTCTCTTATTGAACGGCAGTACAAACTTCGCCCTCGTTTCTTCTCTTATTAGGACCTAAGAGGATTTACCGATAGGAGCTTGCGACTGGGAAACATAGGTGGTGATAAATCACGGATATTTTTTTCTTTTTCTGCTAATAACTTATCCAAATCGCACAGATACAAGATATAATCTATTGAACTTCAAGATTCTCTTTTGTTTATACACTAGCGGGTTTCACGGAAGAGAAGACGGGAAAGGCTGCTCGCAAAATTTTCTATTAAATTCACTAAATAATGGAACGGAGTGGAAGCTACTATAGAGGTAGACACAGTACATCGAGTTTTCAACAAGTTTATTGGTATAGTTCGCTGAAAGCTTTGAAAAATAAACATGGCACAAGCGAATATCTTCGAGGGAAATATACAAGAGGTCTCGATAAAGTATCAGTTTGACGTATGATGTGATATTTCGAGGATAACTATTGAATTTTATTGGCCGTTATCGAGGTACAGTAAACGAGTGCATCAAAAACTCCATGCTCGAGGCACTCAAGTACACGTATAGGTCGCCTATGTTTAATGCGAAGCAAATTTTTAACATCACTTGAGGGTGGGGCGCAAACACGCTGTGTTCCCGTTACTTACACGCCACTCTTCGTGTCGTTCCCCTCCCCTCTACTCTCTCTGTTTTTGACTACTGTTTTCTCCCACTTTGTATACGAAGCAAGTAATACCTCAACGACTTTTTTACATGTCACGAGTACGCAACATCATTTGCAGGCTCGTTAACATGTGCGTGTCCACTTGAAACTCACTCCAACGCAAACAATGCCACGACACTCTCCTCTAAAAACACAACAGCACGCAGAGAGCTTCAAAATGTCATATTAAAAATTTTTCATTTTTGTCGAAAAAAAAGAAGGATTTAATCACATCTTCCATCGAGGCTAAAGAAAACTCTAGTACTTAGTAGGACTAAATTAGGTAACGGTGTTCCATTCCAAACATATATATATAAATTTTTTTTTTTCAATCCTGTGATGGTAACTTAAAGAATGAAACAGCACTTGCAGCAACAGCTGGTTCGAGCTCACGATCGCATCCGACCTTTTAATATTTCAGTACAATCAGGTTATCGCGGTAACGGGCAGATCTATACCTTCCCTCGACCATACCTTTGCACTGATTGCGGGTGTGAAATAATTTCGTAAAAGCCTCCTTCGCGCAGTTGTAAATCACTCGAGTGCCTTTGCATGCATTTACGCAGGCGATTCTGGTTTTCATTTCTGCAAACCCAGCCCTTTTTCGCGCACGAAACATTGGTCTCTTTCATTAAAGAAACCCACGAGTGCGCTCCGCCCTCGTGTGCCCTGAGAATAACAATGATTGCATTTTTGCAAAACCTCTTATCGTGTGTGTCGTACCTTTTTTTTGTGTTTTTTTTTTTTTTTTTTCTCGTTATGATCGCTCATCATCATTTTTTGTACCACTTTTTCCAAATGTTATTTTTTTGAGTTAATTTTGTTTTTCGCGGAGCTTGTTATTCCACCCCTCTGTGGTGTGGAAAAAAAAATGGAAAATCGACAGTATTGTGCATGCCATTGTAAGCAACCTCGTTATTTCGCCGCAAAAAATGTAAAAAAAAACGGAAGCAGAGAGAAGAGAGAGGATGCTCTGCACTGCCGGCGAAAATCGAAATTTTTTCACTCAGTGGGTTTGCACTGCATCAGCAATGATGGCACGCGAACATGTTTTTACTTGTATTTTTTTGGAATCATTACTATTATTATTTTTATTTTTTTTATTTTTGTTTTAAGATTATTTACTACGTTAATTTTCATCTTAACTCCAGTCCTTTGCGCGTTTATTGTAAAATAATTTTGTCACGAAGCCCTAACTATTTATAGTTTGATTGTATCGTTGTAACGTCTAGTGTGCCGTTCTTCCCTTCAAATCTTTAACCCAAGTGAACGACACAACCGTAGCTCACCCATAGCCCTAGGTATTCTTGTGGGGGAAAAACATCGAGGATACTGGAAATCGTCCATAAATTTCGAGGTTTTATCCTTCGACGCGGGGAGTTCTATTTCTTATTTTATTTTCATGTATGTAAGCCTCGGAATCGCTGTACTTCGAAAACCCATCTACCGACCTTTTTCATCCTCTTTATACCATAGAGCACCGACTTTGGAGAAAATTTTCCAACTATTTATTTCTCTCTCGCGTGGTAGCTTTATAGTTGGGAACTCTATTGCCATATCGTGTTACTCCAGGATACCGCTGTTGGAATAAGAAATTAATGACATTTCGATACTCGCATGTATCACTAGCTATAGTTGGGACAGACAAACGTACCCATTATTTAGTTTATACAAGAGTTCCTCTGTATTGATCACTAGCATCCCTCATACCTAC